AATAAAGGTAATAAATTTTTCAACAAAATAAAAAAGTATTAAAATCTATACAATTGATTGTTCAAAATCATAAGAAAAGTGTAAAAAAAAATTAATGATGAAAAATATTTAAAAAATTGTGAAAGAAGTTCAATTTTAAAAGAATTTAAAAAAAAATTTAATTAATCAGATTTTAGAGAGTTGGCAATTTTTTTTTTTACTTTTTTCGAACTTAGAATCATATTCCATTATGAAAAATTAAAAAAAAATAATTTTTGGCTATTTTACAATTTTTTAAAAATTTTATTTTTTGAAAAAATTAATTTTTTTAAAACCCATACGATTTATTATTTAAAATCATAAAAAAGTGTAAAAAAAATTGTCAGTGGAAAATATTAATGAAAGAAGTTCAAATTTCAATTTTCAAAAATTTTTTAAAAATTTTCAATTTTCAAAAAGATAAAATTTCACTGGTACCTCACTTTAATTATTTTTAAATTTTATTATTTTAAAAATATAAATATTTGTTATTTTTAATTACTTTGTACATTCAATTAATTAAAATTAAATAATTTGAATATAAATAAATTTTTTAAAAAATGGATTTTATAAATTATTGAATTTCAAATGAAATAAATCACAAAATAATTGAATTTTATATAATAATTTGATTTTAAATAAGTTAATTAAATTTTTAAAAATTGAGTTTTTTTACATTGTAAATTTTAAGAATTTTTGATTAATTGAATTTTATTGTCAATCAATTAATACTGTGAATTAATAAAAAAAAAATTTGTTAAATTTGATTAAAAAGGATAAATATTTTCAAAATGTTTTTTTTTTTTTTTAATTAAGACTGAAAATTTTTTTCGTCGAAAAGAATTATCGTTTAATTTGGAAAATATTATTTGACAAAAATATTAAAATCTATCTTAATTAATTACAAGTTTATTAATTTAAAAAAAAAAGAAATTTCATTCTTGAAAAATTATTTTTTGAAAATTTAAGGTTTAAGAAAAAAATCACTGCTTTTTTTCTAAAACGGAACTAAAAATTGGCCACCCTGTATACCTTAGGTAATTTTACATTACATTAAAAAAAAAACAAATAAAAAAAATATATTAGTTTACCTGAAATTATCGAAAAAGATGAAAAATAAGAAGAACAAAAATACCAATAAGTAGTGATAAACGATTGGAACGTGAGGTTTAAGAGGATAAAATACAACCTCTTAAGTTTAAAGTTTCTTGCTAAGGAACATTAAAGAATAGAATTGAAACTTTGAGATCAGATTTCTCGCTATTCATGAATTTAGTTTTGAAACGTGAAAAGCGTTGCGCCCGACATGAAAATCAGAATTTCAAGGCATTATATGCTATATCTATCAGATATCGGATGTGAAACTTTGATATTTGATAAGCGAAGGAAAACCCCGAGATTCATCCCGTCAATGAAAATATTCAACAACTTTAATCGAATTCTGTGTATTTCTGTTTTTTTTTTTTTTTTTTTTTTCCCTTGAATTCCTTCAAACGTTGCCTTCGACATATGTCATCTGCTTCAAAAGCACACGAGAGGAAACAGTTTTTCTGCCTTATGAACAAGCTCACAGTTCTATCTCTAACTAAAAAATACTCAGTTCAGAGGAGCTTTCACCACAAAAGTAAATTTACTTAAAAATCAATATTTTCTTTAAAGATATTTTTTTTAAAAAAATTATATTCTCAATAACTTCCAAGATAGAAAATATATTAAAAAAAAAAAAAAATACTAAATAAACTATCTATTTTCTCATATTTTTTTAAAAAATCTCAATTTACAAAAAAACAGTAGTCCATTTAAAGAAATTGAAATGCTTTGACAGAAACAAGTGAGAATTTGTGCGATAAAATGTGAAATAAATTGTGCAAAATGATTGAATAAGAATAACAAAAAAAAAAAAAATTAATACGTTGTTTTCTCTTCTTTTGCAATTCCGAAGAAATGCGTTCATGTCACAAAGAGAAAAAGAGATTCAAATTAATTTCAATTTTATGTAAAGTCTTTCTCAATCGGTTTGAGCTCACTATTTTCTAAAATTACAGTAATCAAAATGGATAATATATTAATAATAATAATAATAATAATACTGTCCAAGAAAATTGTTTTTTTTCTGACCCTGGAATAGTTCTTATCACTTTCGACAGATTTTTTTTTAAATAAGAATCTGCAAATAAAAATCCTCTAGTTTATGAGAAAATTAGAGTTTAAAAGTCAAAAAAGTGTGTTTCTTGCCATATTTGATTTTTAATAACAAAAAAATTAAAAAATGAATTTCACAATTTTCAAATGAAAATTTTTTTTTTTATTCGTCAGATTATTATTTATCATTTTAATTTTTTATTAATTATTAATTATTATTTATTATTAAAAACTGTTTATACGATTTTTCAGGTTTCTTATCGATTTAATTTCTTATTAATTTAAATTTTGTATTATTCTTTAATATTAAAAAATGTTTATACAATTTTTAGATTATATAATTATAAATAAATTTTTTTTAATATCTGTAATTGGTAATCGGGACAAATACACTTATAATAAATATAAATGTTTGTATTTTTGAAAATATATTTATGGGACTGATTTTTTAAAATATTTTTTTATTTTAATTTTTATTCATTTTTTTATTACATTATTTTGATTTTCTAGTTTTTCATGATTAGAAATTTGAATTTTAATAAAATAAAATAAAAAATTTTCTAATAGAAATTAAATTTATGACTAATAAAAGACCGAAAATTTTTAACACTTGAAAGCTGTGAAATAAAAGTTTAAAAAAAAAGTTTAAGAATTAGGAAATTAACTGATAAATTAATAAATATTAAGAATTTTTTAGAAAAATTAAAAAAAAATTTTATAACATGAGAATTTTTAAAAAATTAAAAGATAATAGAAAATTTATGGAAATACAATGTTGAAGAGAAAATTTGAAAGAAAAATTAAGAATTTTAGAAATTTACAAAAAGAAAAGAATTTATGGGAAAAATTGTAAAATTTGAACTAGTGTGTATTAAAATTTGTAAATAAATAAAAATTTTAAAATAAAGAATAATTTTTACTGTAAAAATCTCGAATTTTGGAACTTTGCAAATAAAAAGAAGAATTTGCGGAAAAAATTAATAACTTTTTACCAATCTGTAAAGGTAAATAATTATATCAATTTAATGAATTAAAAAAAATATGTACGAGAATTTAAGGAAAAAATCGTTTTAAAAAATGAAAATTTAAAATAAAGTAAAGAAAAATTAAAAAAAAATAGAAACTCTTAGAATTATTATATACATATTGTTAAAATTTAAAAAAATATACAACCATTTTAGAAATTTAGTTTTTTCAAAAATTAAAATTTTTCAAAATTCCTACGATCGATTATTCAGAATCATGAAAAAAGTTTATGGAAAAAAAGAAATCAGCAATGAAAACTAATATAAATTATGAGAGAAATTCAAATTTTAATTTTTCCAAAATTTCAAGGTTTATTTTAAAAATTGACAAAATTTTTTTGGTTTTTTAATTTTGTGAATTATATTCTAATTTTAAATACTAAAAATATTGTCACAAAGAAAATTGATCAAAATATAGTAAGAAATATTCTTATTTTATTTTTTGACACTAATTTTCTAAAAAAAAAAAAAAAAAAAGTAGCCCTTCTATATACAGAGAAAAAATTTCTTTGATTTAAAGAAACCAATTTCTTTGACTTGTTTTCTTTTATTCAAAATAAAATTTTCTTTGAAACAAAAAATGCTTTTTAGTTTCAAAAAAAATTTGTGCATTAAATCAAAGAAATTTTAACATTGATATAGGGTCAAAGAAACATTTATTTGAATTAAATAAAAAATTTCTTTGGAAACGAAGATAATTTTTTTTTCTAATCAAAGATAATTGAAACAAATAAATTTTCTTTATATCAAAGAAAAATTTGTCAAAAAAAAATTCTTTGAACCAAAGAAATAATTTTCTGGATGTAGAGCATTTTTTTGCAGATTTTTATTAAAAAAAATCTATCGAAAGTGCGATAATTTTCAAAGGTGAAAAATTAATATTGGACAGTTGTAATTTTTGAATAATTCAGAGAAATTTGCAAACGAAATACTGTCTCGACTCGGGCTCTACGAAACGTGACAAAGAACTAAATAATAATAATAATAATAATAATTAATTAATAATCAAAGATTATCGGCTAAAATCGATGTTGCGTCGTTACAAAGTCTTCTTAATTTTTTAAAAATTTAATAATAACAGGGTACGCGTTTTTTTGGTACACATATTGGCAAACGAGTGAATTTCCGACTTTCACTGCGGTAAATCAATACGTTGGCCATTTAGAGAATATTGTTTATCGTATATATATATATAATATGTATATGGCTAGCAGTTGTAAGCAACGTACATACGCGTCTTGATGCAATTTCCGTTAATTCTGACTCGACACAAGATGCGAGTAATTGAATCAATCGCAATGCATATATGCATCGCGTGGCGTATTAACTATATAGCACGTCACATAAATTCGTTACGGACTTGGTCCGAAGCCACGAATAATCGCGAACCTCTTCGATGGAAGCACGAAAATTCCTATTGCTCGCATTATTGGTTTTTTTTTTTTTTTTTTTTTTATTTCACAGACTTTGATGGCTTACCAGTGAACGTCACGTGGTCTTTATTTTTTTTCTTCTTTTTTAAAAAATCAAAAATATCACCAGATATTTATAAGTATTTCAAAGAAACAAATTTTTCGCAAAAAATAAAAAATTTATTTATTTTTTAAAATTTTGAAAATTAAAAATTATATAATTTAAAGTGATTGAATATCGGATAAAAAATAAATATCTGGTGTATTTTTTTTTTTTTGATATTGATGGATTAAAAGTTAATAATAATTTTTTAAAATTTTTTGTCTGACCATTTTTTTTTTTTTAAGAGATGCTTTCTTCATGTGAATATGAATGTACTACGAAAATGTGTGTGTGATGGCATTGTTTTTTTGTTTTTTTTTGTTTTTTGTTTTTAGAAAGACGATACAGATACGTCATCTTCGAATGTAACGTGCCGAGATTAAGGAGCCAACATTTTCGATAGTTCCTCATCTTGCAAGCAACCTTTGAGAAATTCTTCCTGTGTTAATTGGCCGTCATTATTTTCGTCCATTTTTGCAAAAATATTCTTCGCCCTTTCCTCCGCGCTATCAGCAGGCCTGTTACTTGAACATGCGCCCAACATGTCGTATATCGCCTAAAAAAAAAAAATAGAAAATTGTTTTACAAAATTATTTTTCATTTGGTTATTTAACAAAATAATTTAATAGATTTTTACTTTCGATTTACAAATTCATTTTTTTTTAAATTAAGATGATTTTATTTCGCATTGATGTAACTAGAGAAAAATTATAGGTTATGTTTATAGAGTAAAAGTACACATAAAGGATCATCAACAAAAAATTTTCCAATAAAAACTGATTTTGATTTTACATTATAATTAAAAAGGAACATTTAATCAAGGTAAAACTACTATAAACATAACCTAAAATTATATAAATAATGATTTTATCATTCGGTCGACAGAATATTAAATTTGTATTTTGCTAATTAAAATTTTTTATACACAGAGAAGTTAAACACAGATTTCGTACTAAACACACGTTCAGATAGTGTACCTAACCTTTCGAGCAACATCGGTTCTAAATTGTATCGCAGCTGCGCTTTTTGGTGGACAGATACTGTACTAAATCGTTTGTCCCACAAGTTAGGTCAGAATCAGTACTCAATTGGCGCTGCTGCTGTTCGATTTTAGTACTGCGTCTGCACATAATTGTGGTACAATATCTGTCCCTCAAAAAATGCAGATGTTGCGTTAAACTTCTCTCAGTGTAGTTGTCAGAATTTCCAATTTTTCAAATTTTCATTTGTTCGAATTTCTATTTTATAGAATTCTAAAAATTATCATATTTTTTTTTATTTGACCGAAATTTTAAACGTCCAAACAATTAAAGATTTTGGCGCGAATATTCAAATTAACCAATCACAATTTTCTTAATAATTTCAGATCAGGCAATTTTAAAAATCGCGTCGAAATTTTTTTGTCGGTTATTTGTTCGGACATTCACAATTTCGGTCAAATAAAAAATCAGTTTTTTTTTTAATTCTATTAAATAATAATTTGTGTAAATAAAAATTCGAACAAATTAAGATTTTTGGGCAATGTGGAAATTCTAATGGATATTATTAATAATAGTATTTTAATTTTTTAAATGACAATTTTTTTTCCGGTAAACTGCATTCCTGGGTTCTTAGCTTAGCCCATTAACATAACCTCAAATTGAAAAGTTGTTTTTAACAACAAATAAAACTGGTAATAAAATTAATTTTATCAAATTTTGAAAGATTCAGTTGTACAATTTTGAAAATAAATTATTATTGGACAAAAATTTGTTGTTAAATAATAATTATTTCACTTTTGAATTATTTTTCTTTAAAATTGGTGAAAAATTCTAATTTTTATCAAATTTTTTACAAACAAGAGTAAATTTTACTCTTTGAAAGATTTTCTACAATTCTGTTCGTTGAATTTTATTAACAATATTTGGATAAAATTTTTTTTATTTACTATGTATTTATTTAATGTTAATATTAATAAATAAGTAAAAAAAATTTTATACTATTTTTAAAAAACCATTGTTTAACAAAAACACAAATTCAAAATCTTTTAAAGAACAAAAGGAGTTGTCAATAAAAATTATGATTGTCACATAACCTTAAAAAAACAAAACATGTCAAATAATTCTTATTTGGCAATAAATTTTGACTTAAAATTCTTTTTTTTTGAAAATTGTACAATTAAATCTTTCAAAATTTGGTGTAATAAATTTTTAATATATTTTGCTTCCTCTGGAGGAAGCTATGTAGTCCTTCAAATTATGAAATTATTAGAAATGCACCAAACAAATTTTTTTCTATTTATAAATGTCATATATAAGTCCCTGATCAATTGTCCGGATGTATGTATGTGTGTGTGTGTATGTGTGTGTGTGTGGATCCATTTTTTTGTGAACACGATAACTTTAATACGTTTTAACGGATTTGGCTAAAATTTGGTACGTATATTTGTCACATCAATATCTCAAAATGGACACAATGATTTTAGAAAATACCCACAAAAAAAATTTTTTTGGCATTTTTTCAAAAAAATCGATTTTAATCGAAAAAATTTATTGAAAGCAAAATTAAAGGCAATACATAGTAAAATCGTATTCCTCATATCAAGACGAATCGATTGGTATATATAAAGTTTATATTTCATTGAAATTTAAAGAATAAATTAAAAAATTCAAAATTCAAAAATTCATATTTTAGTTAAAAAAGTTTTTGTGAACACGATATCGTTAATACGTTTTAACGGATTTGGCTAAAATTCGGTATGTACATTTGTCACATTAATATCTCAAAATGAACACAACAATTTTAGAAAGTACCCCCTAAAAAAAAATTTTTTTTTACTTTTTTTCAAAAAATCGATTTTAATAAAAAAATTGTTTCAAAGCTAAAATAAAGGCAATACATATAATAATCTTATTCCTTACGTTAAAAATAATATGTATATAAATTATTAATTTATTGCTTCCTCCAAGAGGAAGCAAATCTTTTGCTTTGCGCAATGAGGAAGCAAAATGTTCATGAAATGAACATAAACTTCTTTTATAAAAAGGGACCCCCATCTTGTTTAGTTTGAGGTTATGTTACGGTTATATACCCTTAATTTAGTAAAAGGTAAAGGTCTAGTAAAAATTTCAGTAAATTGATATTCCTTTTTTTCAGGGTTGCCAATTTATTTTCCGACATTTAAAATTATGATACTCAAAAAGTAGAAGAAATTTAATTGGTTTAACATTTTTTTAACACGAAATGCTATTAAAAAAAATTTTGATCTTGCTCTTATAGTTTATATATTATTTTTCATTGACAAGTATTCTTACATTTTTTACGATGAATTTTGAACTATGTATATTGAAAAATTTCAATTTATTTCTACTCTCTAAATCTGAATAAGAAAAATTTTTACTAATTTGAATTAGTGACTCACTGTTTGCTTCTGAATTAGTTAAATTTTACTAATTGTTAGTAAAAGTTACTAATAATTAGTAAAATTTTACTAATTCAGAAGCAAAAAGTGAGTCACTAATTCAAATTAGTAAACATTTTTACTAATTCAGATTTAGAGAGTAAAAAATAAAAATTCTATAAAATAAAAAAAAAATCTAAAAAAGTTTTTTTATATCACAAATGTAATAAAAATACCAATTCGTTTATAAAATTTAAATATTTTTTTTATTCAATTGACGGTTCTTTAACCTTATTTTGAAATACGATAAACAGTGTAATAAATATATAGAACTAATTTCATTTGGAAATAAAAGCAAGTCAATTTTTAAAACTTCGTTTTTATTTAACATTTGAACATTTTATGCTTGTTAATAATTTTTTTTTCTATTTCAACTTTAATATCAAATGTCTGGAGAAAAATTCTTTTAATAAATTCCCAATAATCCTTTGAGTAAGCTTTCCTTTCCAATATTGGGTTTACTTTTAAAACATCAGAAGTTTAAATTTAATGAATCGAAAAGATTGAATTTACTCTGTCGTTTCATATATATTATATATATATATAAAAATGAAGTAAAAAGTTAAACTATTTGAAATACTCCATTGTTCCATAAAGAAAAATATTTTAATTTTCAATTCGCCAGCCAAAGATTCGAAATCTCTGACATTTTCAGTATTGTTCGTTTCCTAATGAAACTTCAATATATATTGGGATTTTAGAGAGAGAGAGAGAGAGAGAGAGAGAGTGCGAGAGAGTATCTTCAGTTTTGTGGAAAGCAAAGCTTGCCTTTCATTGAAACGAACAATAGAATCTCATTGTATATCTATTGTTATATAGAATAGAAACGAAGTGAATCGAAATCGCATCAGAAACTTTAATAAAACAATAGATGTAAATAAATTCATTATTAAAAAAAAACGATTTTGACAAATTTTCATGTCAAAACACATATATATATATCTATATTGAGTTCTTACTGCTCTTATAGATTGATTTCATCCATCATCAGAAATATGAGAATTTTTCCGATAATATACGAAAGGTAAAAGAAACGAAATAAAAAAAAAAAACGGGAAAAATGAATTCGAGTATTTTTGTATGAAACCTCTGAATATGACAGAACAGTTTGAGAGGATATTTCGCAGGATATTTCTACCTCGGGCATGAAATTGTATTGGTGCGCCAATTTACTTTTTTTTCTGGTAACAGAAAAAAGTAGGCTAATGGGGGGACCACTTAAAGGAAATCGCGGACGGATTTCAGCCGACGATATTTGAAAAAAAAAAAAAAAAAAATATGTATTGACGTTTAGAGTGCATTTTACTGACTATTAATTTATACAGTGCATAAATTGGATCGCACGTTCGTTCTGCAATTTAATTATGGATTTTCCATTAAAATGGCAACAAGTATGAGAGCGAAAAGATAATAAACGAGAAATCTATTGCGGTCTTGAATTCTATTGCGGTACTAAAGAATTCTTCTTTTACGCAAAGAATTAAGACAGTTCATTTTTTTTTTTTCAAAAATACTTCTATTTAAAAAGTTTTTTTAATTCTAGAATTTTTTTTTTTGGGAAATAAAAATTATTTTTTACATGAAAATAAAGTTCTACAACTATATAAAAAATTAAGTTCAAGATACTGGTACTAAAAACTAAAAACATGCATTATTTTTCCAACTGCTGCGTGCGTATTTTCAAGAGCATCTGAGAAATAAATTTTTTTTTTTCTTTTTTTATTTCTCTTCTCGACTTGAGTCGACATTTACACATTTTGCGTCAACAATAAAAAAAAAAAAAATCTCATGCCCATTCTTCATTTTAACTTTCAAAACATGAAGCTTTATAATACCTGCTTTTTTTCTAGTGCTCTATAGAAATTGTTTTTAAAATAAAATGAAAAAAAAAAATACATAAAGAAAATAATTATTTGACAGCAGTTAAAATGATTTTTACACTAACGATGTATTCCTCTTTTTTAAAAAATATTTCATGCAAAAATGAATAAGTGCTTTTTCATGCTAAAAACAACATAAACTTTCTTTTAATTTAAAAAGTTTTTAAACCCTTTAAAAAAAAAATTAAAACCATAACTTTTTATACTTTAATTAAAATTATTTATAATTAAAAATTT